TTTTGTGGTAAAGGTATTACGTCAATGTGGTTATTTGATTCACAACTTGTGGAATTAGTAGGTGTATACTGAAGTCCTTCTTTTTTTCGTACGTAGTTGTGAAGTATACAAGCTGATTTATGATCGAATTCACATTTTCTGGATCTCTGATACGAATAGGACCATTCAAAACAGCAAATTTTTCACAAGCCATCCCAAAATACACTCAATGGTTTTTCTCCCTCTGCTAAATCTATAGTTGCATATTCTTTTCACATTATCTAAAATTCTTTTTGGGTATGGTCTCAACACATATTTCAACAATGTAAATGCCTCATCTGCCACAAAGTAATAAGGAAACGGACTATCATTTTCATTGTATGTTAATGGTGTGGGAGGAGGGATATTAAGTCCTGCATTTTGGATCCAATTGTTTCATTGCTGAGGCACTGAATATACCGCCATCGCTGTTTCTTCCGGGAAAACCCGTTTCGATAATAGTGAATAACCCGTCAGCGTCGCAACAAGTCATTAACACCATAGAATGATACGACTTGTAATTGAAATTAGAAGAACYACTATTTAGAAATTTTTCAATTCTTACATGTTTTCCATCGATGGCCCCTATACAGTTTGGAAGATTCCAGAGTGTTTCAAAACGTTTTGTTATTCCTTTCCACTGCTCTGTACTTGGTATTGGCATGAATGTTTTTTCCAACACTTCCCAAATCTCTTTACTGTTTCCGTTACAATTCCGCCAACTGTAGATTCTCCTCTACCAAAATAAACAKCAATTGACGCAAATGTGCCACCAGTACCCAAGTATCTGTAAAATGAAATAAACAATCATAAAAAGGTAGTCAAGTGGGTGTCACTCTGCTGTACAGTAGATTATAAGYGGGGGGTGTAGTTAATCGGGTTTGCGTAAAAATAACGGTATAACACTAGATTGTTATTACAAATTATGTATACTATGAGTGTTATCTTTTTTTTTTGTATCTGAATGCAAAGATAAGTGGAAGAACTTTCGTGCTGTTTTTGTGAGCAACATGAAACCAGCCCCAAGCGGTTCTGGAGCAAAACCAAAGAAAGCATATTATTTATTAGAAGCTATGCAGGTTAAAGTTCCATATATTAAGGCGTTAGGTGTGCCTTCAGGAAATYTTCCTAATCCCCCAGAACAGAAGGAAAGTTTCGAACAATCTGAAGAAATTGACTTTAACAACTCGGAACTTGACCCACAGCAATCTTYGCCATTTCAACCACATCTTACGCCAACTTCGCCATTGCCTTCTACATCATTATACACACCTTCAACTACTGACATGCCCCAAAAGAAGAATAACATTACTCCGAGTCAATCTGAGTCTTCGCCATCATACGTGTCAAACAAAAAACGTGGATTGAAAAACGAATCAGTGGAAAAAGCATTTCTAGAATATTTACAGGCGAAAAAAAGCCAGAACAGATAACTCTTCAGTCAATGCTAATCAGAATCCAAAAGCAGAATCTTTAAAAATATTTCTTCTTAGTATGCTACCTGATCTTTTGAAAATGTCTGATGAAGAAGTACGGCTATTCAAGCGCAAATCACTTCAGATAGTTGATGACATTTTGTCAAACAATTCGACATTCACACCTATTCATTCATTCTCGTCTTCATCTACAACACCTTCAACAGATCAACAAATTCTACTGATATCTCAGAATTAAAATGCTCATAAAACCTCTCAACCTAACACATCTATACTACTATATAAAATAGAACCACCTTTTTTGTATGTACGCGCATAACTCAAAAAGTACCCAACGGATTTTAGTACAGTTTTCACTAATCAATAGGTCTAGATTCAGGGAAGGTTTTAATATACAATTTATTCGTATAACTTAATTAATAAAATTAAAAAATTATTTGTTCCATACATCCGAATATACTTAAATAGCATAAAATTATCGCCCCGTGCACAGATTTCTCTTGCGCAGTGGCATTTTTATAAGATTTCAAAGACAGCGACTCGAGTTCGAATCACGGTATCAGACACTTTTTTTTGCATTTTTTTCCCACTTTTCACTCAACTTATCTTAGTTTTGTTTGTAGAAATTTGCTGATGCTGATGCTTTACTCCGTGTTGGTAATGRTCAGTCACTGACTAGAAATTGTAAAATTGATCTGTCTGAGCTTTGTTTTTTGATGTCTAATTTGATGGACCTAATTGAAAATGTTTACCCAGATTTACCTAATATTTCGACTAAAACGCCAAGTTGGTTTCAAGAAAGAGCAATATTGTCACCAACTAACGATCAAGTCAATAAAATAAATGACATGATACTGTTAAAATTCAACGCACCAACAAAAGTTTACTATTCCATTRACACTGTTTTAGATGCAGAGAAGGCGATACATTATCCAACTGAATTTTTAAATTCTTTATCACCTTCAAGGACCCCACCACACAAATTAATTTTTAAAATAGGGTCTCCTATAATTTTACTTCGTAACTTAAGTCCGCCTAAATTATGCAACGGTACAAGATTACAAATAAAGTCTTTAAAAAACTGTCTGCTTGAGTGTATAATCCTTACTGGCTGCGGAGCTGGGGAAATGGTCTTGGTTCCTAGAATACCAATGATACCAACCAATTTGCCATTCCAGTTCAAACGGCTCCAATTTCCCGTGAAATTAAGCTTTGCAATGACTATTAATAAGGCACAAGGTCAAACATTAAACGTTGCCGGTTTAGACTTAACCGTCCAGTGTTTTTCCCATGGTCAATTGTACGTAGCTCTGTCACGTGTCACATGCAAACAAAATCTATTWGTGATGGCCCCAGAAGGTGAGACACTTAACGTGGTGTATCCAGAAATATTTAATGCTTAAGACGAATTGATATAATTAACAAAAAAAATAAAAATCATACATCATACATCATAACGAAACAAATATATTCCACACGTATATATAAAATCATACTAAACAAATTAATCAAATTAAATATCTGATATAATTCATATCAAACTTTTCACATATTCCTAAACATATATAAATGTACTGAAATCTAGCAATAGCAAAGCATTGCAGGGTCAGCTAGTTACAAACTATAAACAAAATAGTTCTGAAAAGTACTATGAAGCAGTTAATGAAGCCTTATACGTATTAAACAAACAGGAATAAATAGTTATAAAATTWTGTTTTATGTTCTTTTTAAAATTATTAAAATGTTTTAATATATAAGCAAAAAAAATGATATGTTTATTTCTATAAAAATATTACTAATATGCTAATTATATAGGTAAATATTAATCTAAAGTGTCTAAATTTGCATTAAGTAGATAAAAAAGTAAGTTACATACCTGAATATAATTAGTATCCGTTCCTCGGTATTCACGCACTCTCTCATGTTTGTATCTCGCTTGTTTATGGCAGGGGAAATCAKATTCACCAAATATAAGTAACTTTCTTTTGACATCCGATAAAAACATAAAAATTTAGTATCGGAAAGGTTCAATTCTCTTGCAGCAATGAATAATCGGTGATGAAAATTTTTGGATGAACCCAAAACCTTCTATTTTTTTGATTTCTTCTGTAATAGTAGTATGCTGTTATTAATTCTTCATCACTAGAATCACTATCAACATCCATGGTGTAGCAAAAAGATGACGAAAAACGTCCTTCATCCATAGTCACCCAGAACAAACTACAGGTTTCGATCACGAGTAGGTATATTATGAGAAGCCTCGTGTCTGAGTAGTGAGTCACCACTGCGTTAGTAACCGATTAGTAATTTCAATCACAAAACAGTTTAGTTTTTTTTTTAAAGCTCCGTGTGTAGAAGGCCTAACAAGTAGCGTCGTGTGCGGAACTCTACTTGATTAAATCGGCAGCAACGCATAACAAACTTATCAATAACTAGAATTACTAATCGGTTTTATTTACGTATCTCCGTGTGCGGAGGGCCTAAGTTGAACAATGTCAATATGATATGATACAAATATTTACAATGTAATCTAAATTTAATTTAATAACAAAAGTACAAAATGAATAATGTGATAAATAATAAATTGTATGTCGTATAAGAAAAACTACTTTATCTCTATGTTGTATACCTACTGTAATAATTTAATTTGATATTATTTAGTTAACTTTTTTAGTAATATAACTTAAAATTT